AAAATAATAAAATTAAATTAAATAACGTAAGAACAATAAAGTCATCTATAATTTACAATACGCCATACTTTAAATTGTCACAGAAACAGTGTACAAAAAAGTATATTCCATCACGCGTAGCTTGTAAAAAAACGATACTAAATGACTCGAGTTGATCTTAAAAACGCCAAAAATAATTATTTTTAAAACATTTTTTCCACTCACAAAGTTACTCGTAACGCAGATACAAAAAGAACGGGTACTTGCTCGTACAATTAATATATGTATATATATGTTATTATTTTAGTTTTTAATATCACAAACTAGTTTTTATAACGTGTAAACGTTCGCTCGTACAGAGTAAAAAAAAAAAGGTGATTCGCTGGACGTTTACTTAATTATGTGGAAATGGCTGATTCGAAGAGACAAAAAATGATGGAGAGTTTCATCGTAGCGCGTGAAAAATACAGGAACGATAGTTCGCAAGTCTTATTTTCAAACTTCCGTTGCAAATGTATATACAAGTATGTATGTCTTTGACAAAATAGTGCCGTCAGCGTCAGCGGCGAGTGAAACGGCAATGGAAAAAAAAGCTCAACTTGCGAAATTTCACGCGTACGCGCGCTTGCGTTCGCTAAACTATAATATTTTCGCAAGGCCCGAAGCAGCAGTGCAGAGAACACGTTTGCAAAAAAAAAAAGGTCAATCGAGCTGTATTTTTGTTTAGATAAGCCGAATGCGAGTCACTTATCGCTCTATATCCAAGTGTCTATGATTTCAATCAAACTGGAAATATGCATTTGACATTTGATGAACCGTTTACCAATAAATTTTTTTTTGTTCTTTAAAGAGATGACGATTTCAGAGTCATGGTACGAGATTTTGTTGAACAAACAGTCGATACGTAGAATTAATGCACTGCCAAAACGACTGATCGATGTCGTTGGAATGTGAAATGACAACATAAATGTCAAACAAAATGTTATGCGTCTTTCTATGTGGATGGTTTGTGACGTTAAAGAATAACTAAAGTCTACGCTCGGGCAGTTTTTTTTTCACGATTAGGTGGTTGTATGTATAAAAAATGGACGTTGATGAGTTGATCTCTTCGCGATACGACGCCTAATTTTCATTGAAAAATAAACCTACGCGCACTTTGTTGTCTACCTACTCGTGGATAAATATCTTCAGTATTTGTGTTCTTATTTTAGAGGTCTGAGTTGAAAAAATAATACACATATTATTTAAGAATTAAGGATCAGTTACTCGCATTTTTTTCTTTTCTTTTTTTCTAAACAACGTCTATTAGCTATACTTACTGTATAATAAATTCGCCACGAAAATCTACCGATTTTTAAGATCTATCGAAAGACACCGATCGATAAAACGATTTCAAGTTTGAAACTATTATTTGATTACGACGAAATTTTTATATTTTAAACGTACATCAACGATTAGTTGAATCGAATTAATATAATTATGTACAATGACCGTTAGTGTAAAAACTGTGCTTTCAACATTACCTCGATGGGTGAAAATTTACGACTAACGGTCATGCATTGTTTTGGAACATTGAAAAAAAAAAATTTGACCAAGCTAATTTTAGATACACGACATCGATTTTCCGTCCGTTAAAAGTCTGTACTCATTTGGCATTTAATTAATTATTTTTGTTTTTTTCCTCTCTGCAGCACTCGAATGACGAGGCAACTCGCGCATCGATTGCCTACATCCCTTGTTTTCTCTCACTTTTCGTATATACGAATGACAAGCATATCCCGTTAATCCACAAAAACACGTCACTCGCGTCACTTGGAAATTGCCGGCTCACGTGTTGATTTGAGTAAACTCTCGCTTCGTTCGGCTATTTCTTACTTCCTAATGTGTACTTGTGATATTTTTCAAGGGGGAAAAACCTACGCACACAAATACGCGTATCGTAATATTATACACGAGGGACCCGATGACGCACCGTGAAAGTAAAAGCGTCGCTTGTGACTATACAGGCACAACCCCCAAACCGATGAAAATCAATGTACAACTGCGTCACAGTTTTAGCGCGACCCACTTTTGTTTTTCTTTTCCTTTGCTTACACTTGTCGAGTTAGTCGTATTTTGGCACGAGTATATTTGCAGTCCAGTGTTCTTTCGTGGGCTCTCATGGGTTCGGCGATAAAAGCACTAACGAGACGAAACAAACGTTGGGTAAGAGAGGGGTTGTCGCGCAAGCTTACTCAGTGAATAAAGAGACTCAACGAATCGAACAAAAATGATGTACAAATTTTTCCCCCTTCGAAATCGTAGATACACCCCGATGGTCCACATCATGTATCACCTGTACGTCGGATTTCCCACGGTGGGACTCGTCTTGGTTGTTCCTTGGACGTGGATGGAGTTCGTCGCAGGAATTGCTCACACGGGGGGGGAAAAAAAAAAAAAAAATAGAGCTCGAGCCCCACACACGCTCAAGCATCAGTCTTGACCCTCGGTAGCAACTGCAGCGGATAAGTATATCGAGTGACTTTAACGATCACCGTGTCATCCGTGATGCTCGTTCGGCAGGACGATGCTCACGGACTTGCGAGGCTGACTCGTCGGTGCGGGCTGGACCACCGGCTCGGATTCTCGCGCCGGACTGTCGGGCTCTATCGATACCGCCGTCAACGGCTCCTCGCTGTTGTTCGACGTCGAGCTCGATATCAGCCTGTGGGGGTATTACATTTGTGACTCGAGAATAATTGTGGTGGTTTAAACGGGGGGTGTATACCTGTGTTGCGGAGGTGGGGTTGGCGTCCGGGACAGGGGGAAGCTGGCGATTTCTCTCGTCACCGAGAGCGACCTGATGGATCCGAAGGTCTGGTCGGGCGACAGATTCCCGGCAGCCATCCCACTGGAAAATATATACATTTTTTATTCCACATACATGTACCTTAAAACTCAAACAAAAAACTTTCCGATTCAACGGCAAAGGTAAAATTATACCCGATTTCGACCGCGTGTAGCCGGCCGGCCCCTCGACGATCAAGATCGTATATTGTATATGCACGCGAGGTCGAGGGCGGAGGAAATAATATGTAGTTGTGCTGTCGCGAGTCACATATCCACGGGTGATGGACACGTTCGAGGGAAGGTTTTACTCGACATGTATGTACATACACGCAATATGTACTCTATGGTTCTCTCATTCCTTTCGTTCCAGTTGCAATATATATATACTGTTCGGCCTTTGCAGAAGTATAACTTTTTGCACATAGATCATTGTCCAAACGAGTGGCCAACGTTTGTAAGTTTGATAACGCGTTATTGCGGTAAAACATCAGCAAAGTGAACTTGTGGAGTAGTAAAAAAGATAGACGACGAGGCGGAGGAAGGAAATCGGCACGAAAGAGAAACCGATCGATGCCTATACGTGTACGATAACACGCGTGCAGTTGACGAGGACAGTGTATATGGATAATGTAGGGAACATTACATATATAAAACATAACGTTATATGCACAATGTGTTATTATATACACGATATAACCGGGCGACAATTGTCGTCCACACGGGGCCGCGTGTCGTTGGTAATAATTCACGAGGCGTGATGAATAGGTACATATAAACGTGTGGGTTCTATTTTAAGGCGCGGAGCGGCTATTTCCCCCCTCCCCCCCCCACCATCACGTCATACGGATACAGTCCAACGAAACGACGATGAACCAACTTTATCGGGACAATACTTTAGGCACGTTGACCCAAAAAATTATACAAGGAACAATGGTGTTGTTCGATGTTTGTCGTGTAAAACAATGTGTTGGTCGTACCTCATGGAGCCGGAGGTGACGAGAAACGGCGTGGGTGTTGGACAGGGGCTCAGGGGCGAGCTGCTCAGGGAGCTTCGCGTGCTGCTGATCACCGAGTGCGGGCACTGAGGTAGGCCGGTGCGCAGCCCGTTCGCTCCTCTTACGGTCGCCGACCTTTGACGTTGGTTTTGTTGCTGCTGTTGGTGCCGGCAACACGCGAACCAGCCGCCACTGCCGCCTCCGTTGAGACTCTTGCCTGCAAACACGAGTATAGTCACATTGGGACCATTATTTATATATACTCGTACGCTGTACATATATACCCATGCATATTTAAATGGTTTTATTGATTGCACGCCACGTAGTGCCTCTTTGTATTTACTTCTGTTCTGTGTACAGGGTGGGTGTATACAAATGCACCCTCGGGTATTGGAAAAAAAAACTTAATATTAGTAGATTTGAAGGGAGAGACGCGGCAATTAACTAAGCCTTCCTTACGATGGATTAATTGAGTCTTGAGAGTTTAGTCATGTTATTTACAACAGTTGCACATTTCATACACGTTTTCTGTATAGTAACGTACCGATGGTCGTTGACTCTGTGACCTACTCTCGAGTCCCAATCCAACTCCCAGTCTAGAAGTTATATTCAATTGTACCCATATAGGGTACAGGTAGCTTATTTGGGGACGATCATACCCGTTTCGTTTGTCCATATTCGATTTCAACCGATTGTACGAGAAACTTTACAAAAACATTCCCTAAAAATTTAATAAAATTTACAAAAGTCCCAACTAGTGGTTTTTTCGTAGAGTCAAGCGGTTAGAGCCCGTTTCGATACTCGATTATTATTAGTAGATGCTGCGAGGAGAAATCAGGAGGCTATACGATACACTCGTGTGAAAGTTCGGTACCGTCCACATTGCAGATGATCGTCCACAAGTAGGTAAAAGCAACGACATACTTATAGATATCGGTTGCGCGTGTAAATGGGCCGAGCGTTGACCGGTAATTCACCGATGACCGCGTGCGGCACATATGTACAATGCACGGCCTACCGCGGTGCATTAGCCTGAATTCGGACAATCCGATTATGAGTGTATAATATACGTACACACACTCGCGGACCGATTATACATCCGCAGCGTCTAGCCTCGTCCTGGATTTTCGCTCTTAATTGCTCTATATACGTATATACCGCGTCGTGTGCTTTTCGCAATTTTTCGACCAACGTGTGCACGCTGAAATAGCTTCCCCCCTATAACGAACAAGCGTCAGGGCCGCGGGATTGGAATTTTAATCGGGTTAACGCGTATATATACCTATACCTATATACCTATAGGTATATACATGGATATGCTAGGTGAAATCGAGTATAGATATAATTAAAATATATGCGCAAGCGTCGAGATTTCGCCTCGTTATGTTTCTCGGGTGCTCTGTATTGTACGAGTAAACAACCTAACAGGAATATAGGTACGTCGTAATTCGTGCCTTCCCATTGGAGTATGGATCGAAGAGAGTAATAAAACCATTTCCCTGTTTTTCCCTGCCAACTACGCGTAAGGGTGTACATGTACAACGTACTATAAACAACATCCAGTTACGCTCGTTAACGAGACAGTTGCTGGGAGTGGAAAATCTGGTGACGCGAGCTTACACATGTATAGCTCGATACGCGGGATGTAACTGCCGGTAGACACGATACAACCCCGTGAGCTTTTTCTACGCGTTGACATTCAAATCAAGTGATTTTTTTTTTTTAGACTTACAGTTTTACATTTTATTTTACTTTTTATCTATAAAAGAAAAATAGCAATGAAACAAATTAAATCAAAGCAATCAGTTTTTTTTTTTTTTTTTTTTTTTTTCCCATGTAAATACTAGAATTTTGCCGGTATTTGTGTATTTATACTGGTGCCGTTTTTTCTTGTGTTGCGCAACGAGTCCTGTGGCCAATTCCTACGTACATAGATACTTTAGATGGCTGATACAGGCATGTTGGCACGATTTCTTTTTTATTTAAAAAAATTTTTTTTTTTCCTGCACCAAATATATACATGTTATTTTTCTGCAGCGTGTGCTTAAACAGGCACAGCACCTCGTCGCGTACAAGGAAACATTTGAAGTCCAAAAGAATAAACGTCACCAGTGGTCGGCATTGTATAACGTGTGAAAAACGTAATGTGGCGAGTATGAAATTAGAAAAGAAAATACGTCAAACGAGGAAAACAAGTTTCCAGTCGCTTCGTCATGTCTTACGATGTCGAAGGCGCTCGGAATATTTTCCACCACAATAATTAAAATCATTGTCCGCTAAGCTGATTTCTCGCGACTCCTTGCTCTTGCCACTTTAATTTATTATTATTCATATTAAAACTCACCTGTCGAATCAAGCACTATATTATATTTTCATACTCGTGTAAAAAAGCGTAAAAAAAAAAAAAAAAAATTATACCATGCAATCAGTGCAAAAGAAGTAAAGCACATGTACTAACTGGCAAAGAGTTTGGCAGCGCGGGACGGACTGAGTGGGTAAAAGTCACCGTGCACCGGGCAGTGGAAACCAATGCGTCGCTCGCGTCTCCGAGCTCGCCGGGCCAGTGCACACAGTAGCGCCCCGAGGATCAGCATGAGGCTGCCCACTGCTATACATGTGGGCCCGAGGACCCGCGAGTTGCCCATCGAGTCGATTCGCGCCGCGTACGAGCTCAAGTCCTCGTCCTTGCCTTGGCCTCGATACGACGCAGCTGTAAACATTTTTTTTTTTCATTATTTTACTTTATTTATACAAATATACGTGTACGTTTTTATATTGGGCCGTACAATAAATTTGGGTGAATTTTTTTGCGTTTATCTATAGAAGTACCCATGAGGTGTAAGTGTATACGTTGCCCTGCAGTTGTTCTATTTTTTTTTTTTTTCCCCATTTGCATAAGAGTATATGGTTCTTAATAGTGGAAAATTTAACGCTCGATTACGTAAATATGCAGGTATAAAATACTCACTCGTTTGGTTAAGAAAGGGCCGAGAAAGCGCGATTTGGCGTGTCGGTCGCGATAATCGGCCAGCGACAGGTTTTACCATTTTTCACGCGCTCTATAAGTTGTGTACACAAATACATCCATGCACAATCGCTCGGACAATCGTACAAGGCTTATTATTACGTATTCAGCGCTTTGGAACCTTGATACTCAAGTAAGTAAAAGTGTATATACTATATATATATATATAACCCCGTGGGGGATGATACGTACCCACCCAACTATATCTTTCGCGTCCTCCGCTTCGAAATAGCTCGCGTGTGTGTATAGCTATCACAGGGACGAATTTTGTGTACTTGTTCTTACGTATATTGTACCTACGGTGTGCTTTACGTCGCGAAGGACCATTACCCCCCTTTCGTTTTTCCCCGTACTTACGTAGTTTCAGACTTTGGCGCAATCGTGGATTTTATTCCAACGTTATGTGGTAAGTATTTTTTTTTTCCTCGATTTTTTTGTATCATTCAAATATTGCAATGAGTTTGCTTTTGCTTGATAAAAGTTTTTTTTTTTTCACCACAAATAGTGCATCAAAAATATTTAATAACAAAATTATACATTGCTAAAAAAAAAGTCACAGTTACATTGTACCGCGCGTGCAATTTTGCTTGAAAAATAAAAGCTCGTTACTCTTTGTAATTATATTATTGATGAAAGTAGGAAATATTGCAACAAAGAAGCGCTATAAATAAACGAGTACCCGATGCTCGATGCGACGACGGTATTTATTGCTGCAGATCAAATGTCTCGTTAACAGTACGAACGACAAGAACAAAAGATACCTACTTATGGCGCGACGACGGGGCGGAAGAATTATCAGAATATTATCAACGCCAGCCGAGTCGATTTATGTTAATCGTCTGCGTGGCACGCGTATCGAGGGAAAAAAAAAAAAAAAATAAACTCCTGGTATTACATACCCCTCGGAGCTGAGCGAGATTTTTTTTTTTTTTTAATGTCGCGCGAAAATGTATCCTCTCTTTCTCTTCGTATAATTCAAACTCGCCTTTCCACGAATTTCTCGGTTAGTGATATATATGTACCTACCACCGTTCGATGTATCAAAAAGATTTATAACATCCTGCCTTGGCAGTTTTTTACGCTTAATACGCCGCGCTTCCAAGTATGAAAAACAATAGTAACAATAAACGATCGCACGTCAAAAAAGAGGTCAATAATCATCAATCCGCATTTCTCTCTCGGCTGCGAATCTTTGGCATGCGGGTAGCGATTATATTGATATCAGCAAAAAAAAAAAAAAAAAAAAATAAATAAATAAAATAAAATATTGTATGGTATCGGTACATACATCACGTATCCATCCGTTATTTGAATAAACGTGCGCGTCCTCTGCGCCCATATATGTATACAGACACACTCGTATATTTTATAGTCGATTGTCCGCCCGTCACTTATACAACAAATTTGTACCTCACCCACACGACTCGGGCTGTACCGGCACGCATCTGTGTTCACGCGTGTTTCGCTCGATACGACTTCCTTTTTCCTCCTCTTACGTATACACGTATACGTTATATAGGTATAAGCTATACTCAATTTATTTTGATGATGCTATCGTGCACTTCCTCTCTGTCGTGTGTATGAGGTATTAACTTGCACGTACCCATCACAAGTCACGTGCCTATACATACACGCGGCATCGAAGAAACAATTCCGCGACTGGATGCATGGTGTGTGTGGTGGTGGTACTCGCGTTTTATTTTATTCCATTCCCGTCAGCAGTCATTTTTTTGTTTTTCTCTCGCTCATCTTGAGGCGATTTGCAAGCTAGGCGTGTTCCACGTGGAATTTGATACGCACACGTCGCTCGGTATTTTTCCACGTACGAGTTATTCGTGTGTTTCAGCCTTTCGTTAAACTGTTGTATCGTCGCAGTCGCTGACTTCTCCCGAAATGGTAACCGATCCACCCACCGATCACAATCAGATACCCCACGAAACGTTGTTTTCTCGCCACACGAAGGCGCTCTCGAGGTCAACGCTCCGACTTGGCTGCTTTCGCTTGAAAAATACCGATCAACCGTACCGATACAAAACCACCCACGCAAGTGCTTGGAAAAAAAAAAAAAAAAAAAAAAAAAAAAAAAAAGTAACAATGACATGTTGTACGTACCAGTGAGCACGGCGCCAACGAGCACGAAGAGAAAGCCAAAGGCAGGTAGGGCCAATTGACAATTGGCGGCGATGACGACGCCCGCGACCATGAGGCCGCCCTCGATCTTCTCGACCCTAAACCGCGACAGCGACGCCGGGCACTTTAATTTGCAGCCCAGCCTGCTGCCTCTGCCGTCTCCTTCGCCGTGCAGTATACCATCCTCCGGTGAGGCGTTGCAGTGCCTGAAAGACACCCGAAAAACGTATGCTTGAATATGAGAAAATCGGATGGTACGTTGTATACCATAACAACACGTCAAAGAGGTGTTGGTTTCATTGGTTATTTCAATTTAAAAATGATTTCTTTTTTTTTTTTTCTATTTCTCTTTTACTTTTAATTTAATTGATATGTCCGTTGTACATCGCCGATCAACTAATTAACAGTCAATAGATAAAGAAGACAAGAGTCACATGCGTCTGCCGAATGTCTTGTTTTCCTTACGTCTGACGTGTCGTACGCGTCAGATGGATAGAGAGGAACAAAGTCACGCGATATGTCTTTAATGGCGCTCACGTGTGTCTCTTATTTCTTCTCACACTCGAAGCATTTTGCTTTCATTTGGTAATACTATACACACTCGCGGCTTTGATCGCTGGAGAAAGAAGGGACTAATTGCGTGCTTCCGGTCTTTCTTTTCTTCTCGAGAGGTGAAAGGCACGATAATACACAGCCTTAATTATTCAGTACAAAGATACATCATTATCCGAGGCTTTGGAGATAATCTCCGCCACGGGTTTTCCTTGTAAATGTCAAGTCACACGAGTACATCTTGTAAATTATCCTCAGATGAAAATGACGTGCTTTCTCTTGCATGCGCGTCTGTATCAAGCGTCGAGAAATTTGAAATTTTACGCGCCGATCTGAGGAAAGTGTCTATCACGATAGAGATCGGTCGTTTGTTGATTTTTCGTTACATCGCGTCACATCAATATTTTTAGTATAATCGTGAGCAATGAGCTCGAATCTGATGCCACTCGGGGGGGAAAAAGACAAACGCAACTGTTACTTACTTTTCTACTTTCCAATCAACATTAGGTATGGATTATCAATTGTCAAGAGAAAAAAAACAACGGAGCGTGGAATAAAAGAGACGTCTCCTGCAGTACTTGTTGAGAGCACGTGAAGTGTACGTATCAAACTGTAAACAATGCGATGAACCGTCTGTGTTTTATGTTGGATTTTTAAAATAGTCTAGCGTTGACGATGCATCGGCGAAAGAGAAAAAATGAAAGATGAAATATCGACATCCCACGCCGCTCTTTTGGATTTTAGGAGCCATCGGAGCCTCGCCTTCGATATCAATCGCGTGTACGCTCAATCGTCGGGTAACTTTGCGTCTCGTGGGAAGATATACCTGCGAGGTCCAGTCACGGATGGAAAAAAGAGACTATAATGTTTGATCGAGATATACTTTACTACAATTATGCGAGACCAACGTCTACCGATTTAAACAAAATTTTTTCATGCTTTATCGCCGAGTGCGGTTGGCTGTTTATTTTTTGCTTTCTTATACGCAGCAACAACAACAACAACATTTCGAAATGAGGGTAGACACGTAAAACAGAGTTGATCGTTTCCTCGTTGCGAGTGTAGGTGCCATACGTCGAATTAACGAAATTACGCGCATTAGCAATTAAAATCGAAATCGGCCGGCCGAACGATCGTCCATATCGGCACCTTTACGCGCGTGTATACAACGAGCCAAGAGTGTTATTTAATAACCGGTTTGGAAATTTGATCCACCACACGAATCACGTGGTGTTTTTTTTTCTTTCCTGCCATTAAAGCGCGTCGCAAAATTTATACAAAGAGTCGCAAATAAAAAGACACTTTGCGTGATTAAAAGTGATTACTTATTGGAAGAGAGAGAAAAAAAGGTTTGTTTTTTCTTTTCACACTTAGAAAAAAAAAAAANNAAAAAAAAAAAAAAAAAAAAAAAGAAAAAAAATACCGTCTGAATTTTTTTTATCCTCGACTGGTCGAGCGACACTTACGAGGCACGATATATACACAACTGGTGCACGTATCGTGGAGACTAAAAGTATCAAATTAACGTTGCTGTTTGGCCAACTCGGCAAAATTGGTTTCCAGTCTCTCGCGTTTTTTTCTCGATACTATCTCCAGCAAATTAAAAATAGAAAGAAAACATGATGATGATAACACATCACAATGATCCTGCTGGTTTGCTGATGTACAAAGCGTATAATATAATACATCTACTGTAGTGTACAGTGAAAACTCTGGTTTTTTCGGCCGCGTGTATATACTCATTGAAAATGAAAGTGGAAAGTGATTCCGCTAAACACAAAGTTTTTTTAACTGCAAATAAGTATATGTACATGTATATACTATACGTGTGATAATTGGTTATAGGCATGACTATACCACTATCTCTTGTCGCGTGTGGAACCGATGACTGTACAGCTAATGAGATCCATGAGGTGTTCAATGAAAGATAAGAAAATAAATATATATCCGAGGAAGGAAAGAAGCGACGATATGCAGCAAAAGCGGTAAATACAAGTATAAACATACGACAGAAGTTTGATCGGTAAGCCGATTTTTCTTTTTTCATGTTGCAAAAAAAAAAAAAAAAAAAAAAAAAAAAAAAAAAAATAAAAGCAATTTTTTTTTTTTTTTTTTTTTTTTTTTCCCATGTAAATACTAGAATTTTGCCGGTATTTGTGTATTTATACTGGTGCCGTTTTTTCTTGTGTTGCGCAACGAGTCCTGTGGCCAATTCCTACGTACATAGATACTTTAGATGGCTGATACAGGCATGTTGGCACGATTTCTTTTTTATTTAAAAAAATTTTTTTTTTTCCTGCACCAAATATATACATGTTATTTTTCTGCAGCGTGTGCTTAAACAGGCACAGCACCTCGTCGCGTACAAGGAAACATTTGAAGTCCAAAAGAATAAACGTCACCAGTGGTCGGCATTGTATAACGTGTGAAAAACGTAATGTGGCGAGTATGAAATTAGAAAAGAAAATACGTCAAACGAGGAAAACAAGTTTCCAGTCGCTTCGTCATGTCTTACGATGTCGAAGGCGCTCGGAATATTTTCCACCACAATAATTAAAATCATTGTCCGCTAAGCTGATTTCTCGCGACTCCTTGCTCTTGCCACTTTAATTTATTATTATTCATATTAAAACTCACCTGTCGAATCAAGCACTATATTATATTTTCATACTCGTGTAAAAAAGCGTAAAAAAAAAAAAAAAA